AGTCAAAAATAATTAACATAAGAAAAAGAAACCTTTGAGTGTGATGTGTGCTCTACGCAGGACCAATTTCATCCATCCATCCATCCATCCATCCATTATCTTTACCCGCTTATTCCATTTTGGGTCACGGGGGTCGCTGGTGCCCATGTCCAGCAATCACTGTGCGAGGGGCGGGGTACACCCTGGACGGGTCGCAAGTCCATCACAGGGCCACATAGAGACAAACGAGACAAACAACCATTCACTCTCTCACTCACACCTAGGGACAATTTAGTTACCAATCAGCCTAACATGCATGTTTTTGGTCTGTGGGAGGAAACCGGAGCACCCGGAGAAAACCCACGCATGCACGGAGAGAACAAGCAAACTCCACCCAGAAAGGCCTCTGGACCGGGGTTTGAACCAAGGACCTGCTCGCTGAGAGGCAGCAGCTCTACCAGTTGCGCCACCGTGCTGCCCAGGACCAATTTCAGACAGAATAAAAAACTTTAGATAATTTAGTAATTGAAAACAAATATACCCTTCTAAAAATTGATAATCTGATTCAAAATACATTTTTATTGATGGCTTAATAACTTATTTCAGTACCGATTAAAATAGACTTGTAATGTTTTGTTTTAATCAAAACAAACAAGTGCTGATGATCAAACATCTTCCTAAATGAGTGTTCAAACCATTAAATATTACAACCTTTAAAGTACATACAAATACTTTGTACATTAATACTTCTATGAAACAGAAATGAATGAATGTAATTTGTTATATTATGCTCCTAATATATTATTTTAGTAAAATGGATTAAGAAAAAGAAATATGTTCTGAGTGTGAAAACTTTTCAGGTAAATTTAACCTGCTGAAAAAGGCTTATTGTAACTGAATGAATATAACATTAAGCTAAACATGGAATGTTTATTTTTATTTTTTTTTATTGAGACTTGCAATTTCATAAAGTTAGGAATATCAGATAATGCTCCAACAGGCCATTAATTTTCTTTTTCTGTATACCTCTCCCTGCAGCGCCGTATCAGCTCCGTTAGTTGTTTATTTTCTAAGTATTTGATTTGCATGGGTTGTTGAGTGAAATGAACAGTTTTCCAGAACCTGTCTTAAGACTAGAACATACTGGTTAGTGTGGCGTTATATTACCTTCTGATGGGGATAAAATGGAAGGCATTCCAGAGAGTGGAGGATCCGTCGATATTCAATTAACCCAGGAGGACAGTCATGGCGGCTGTTTATCAATACCCCTTTTTAACTGCAAACCCACAGCACACTTAATTAAACTTCTCATTAATGGCATCAAACAAATGAACAAACCCAGTCTAAAATACAATTACATGAAAACTGGTCAGTTAAGGGCTTCGGGTCACTGCCAAAGTTGCACATACTTTCAGTCCAAGTTGTAGAGACAGAGCAGGACACTGCGCAAATATGTTTTCTAAGCATCTGTGTGGAGATCACTGTTTATCTGGGACAAACGCCGACCCTTGACCCATAAATCATTGATTTACTTGCATTCCACAGCTGAGAGAATGGAAACGCTGCCTCACAACGATGAAACTGTTGGGGGTTCATGAGAAGAAAAACATAAATGTTCAGGAAAATCAGACTTGCATTAAAAAACTGGCATTAGAAATGACCTTCAACTGTGACCTGTGATACTGTGCTACACTTGGCTAATCAGCAACAAATCAGGGTCAACGGGCCATTCGGAGGGCAAGGCTCTGAATGTCTAGACAGTGATAATGATCTGCTAACGTGTGATCAAACATGACAGTGCTGCTGCTAACCGAACAGGCCTGTGAGGCACTGAAGGGTTATTAGTTGAGCAGGAGGCATGCAGACTGACTTTTTTTTGTACAGATTATATGTTAAAAATCAAAGTAGAAAAAAAAACTATCAAAAAGAAAGCAGCAAAAATAAATTGAGTCATGCAAACAAAAGAGCCACAGCTGTGAAACTGTATACAAGTGCATCTAAAAAAATTGGAATATTGTGAAAAAGTTAACATTTTTTGTTAATAATTATGTTCTCTCCATGCATGCGTGGGTTTTCTCCCACAGACCAAAAACATGCATGTTAGGCAGATTAGTAACTCTAAATTGTTTGTCTTTTTTGTCTCTGTGTGTTCCTGCGATGGACTTACGACCTGTCCAGGGTGTGCCCCTTCTCTTGCACTGCGACTGCTGGATATGGGCATGGATCCCCATGACCCAAAAAGAAAGAAAAAAGTGCTATGTGTTGTCATCATTATATGTTTCCATACAATGATGAAATTAGGTCTCTGCATTTAACTCATCACGTGATATACACCTAGGTGGAGCAGTGGGCGGCTATGCAAGCACCCAGGGAGCAATGGATGGATGGATGGAAATTCAGTGTCTCAGAAAATGAGAACATTGAGAAGAGGTTCAGTACTGTAAACTCATGATGTCACACCCAAATCAGCTCATTAACTTCTAGACATGAGCTACAAATGTCTCTTGCTTCAATTCCAGCCACTCCTGAACCAGAGACAACATCAGAAGCGTCTTACCTGGCTGAAAAGAAAAAGAAGTGGTCCAATTCCTCTTTTCACATGAAAGTAAATTCTGCATGACATTTGAAAATCAAGGTCCCAGAGTCTGGAGGAAGAGTGGAGAGGAAGAGTGGAGAGGAACAGAATCCACGTTGCTTAAAGTCCAGAGTGAAGTTTCCACAGTCAGTGATGGTTTGGGTCCATGTCCTCTGCTGGTGTTGGTCCACTGTGTTTTCTGAAGTCCACAGTCAACGCAGCATCTAGCAGGACATTTTAGAGACGTCATGCTTCCTTCTGCTGATGAGCAGGCTGCAGGTCTGCTTGCTTGTCTGCAGTTTGCAGACAAGCTAGTTGAACTAAAGTACTGTACAATTAAACCAAAAGCAATATATATTTATATATATTTTGGTTTATATATATATACATCTAAAAAAGAAGTAAAGCATGAAAGATCAAATTAATATAAATCAATAAAGAAACAACCATTTAGCACCAGTTTGAGATAGAACAAGTCTGACTGGATGATGCTGAATGCAGACTGTAAAAGCTGGAAAACCTTAGCAACTGTTCTAGCTCGGCAAAAAACTACTGTGCTGGTTCCTCAATCCTGGTCAAACCAGTCTTAAGCTTTCAACAGAATTTAGGATACGATGCTACTTTTAAGGCTTGATAAGAAAGAGCAACACTGACACCAAATACAACAAAATATGCCAAACTAAATATTGCTGTGTTTGACGTGACAATAAAATATTTTAGACAGAGACAATAACGACATTTGTCTCTTTGCTAGCACAACTCACTTTGTTTGCGGTTTGCCCTTTGCCCTCCTGCTACATCATACATTGAAATGGGCAACAGGTTCAGGAAGCTCTGATTCTTACCCAGAAACCCATTTGTATCCTTTACACATCACTATTACAACATGTAGCAAATAAACATGGCAAAAGATTTATTATGAAGCTCAATGATATTATTTTCTAAAAACATAAAAACTCAAAAACACTGAAAGCACTTGGAATTTTGAAGTGGGAAGTAAAAGTCTTTTTTTTTTCTTCAAATTCCGCTCAAATAATTCATCAATTATCTAAACTGTTGTTGAGTTCTGGCATCTAATTGACTAATATATTTCAGTGGTCCTCCAAATCTGAATGAGAGCCATAATTCATAGCTTTATGGGTCATTTAGATTTGGTATTTACAAATACATAATTTTTATTTTTCAAGAGCTCTCTTGAAATTAATTAGCAGAAGTTTACATACTAACAATTTGATGGAGGTAATTTTTTTATAGATTGTGTCTGTCTTGTACGGTCTTTCTCCTGCTTGTATATTGAATTATCAAGCGAAGCTGTACTGACACTGAGTGGATGTACTGTACAATAAAACTCGTGAGTTAAACTGGGCCATTCAAGTACACATCAATATGTAGGACAGTCACTTGGACATTTCAATCTGTAATGCCGTCATTTTAACAGAGGAGGGGTGCAGTAGACAAACCATCAGATCAGAATAAAAAAGTTATGTTTTGGAATTTGGTTGTCAATCTCAAACACAAGCTGTCACATCTTTGTGTGTCTCGCTGTGTCACGGAGTGAATACCAAGAACGCACTGCGTTACTGTCACCTGAGCCGAGGACTGGCGGCACCTGACTGATGGATCACTTATCCACCTCCCTTTCCTACCAGAACAGGACGTGTTTTCATCTTTGGGGAAATGAAAATGTCAAATGCAGATTTTTAAATTGAGGTGGCTCAGCAGCATCCAGGAATGTTTCGAGATAAGATCAGCAGTCCCCCTCCCACCACTGCTGTGTAACCTTTTGTTTGTGTGATGGAATTTCACAACCGTACGGATGAGAACTGATGCCAGTGGTGTTTGTTTACTGGGGCCACCGATAAGCTGAGAAATAATCCTTCCAACTGTTTTGGATCACAGAACTATGGCTTGATTGTAAATTGTAAGGCCTCCTCTCTTTGTGTGGACCCCCTCTTTTTTATAGAGCTGAGCCCCTGTCCTTTCCAAAGTTTGCTGTGTGTTGAAATGCTTTCCCCCTTGGGTGCCTTGTGCAAGCCCCCCTTCTTCCCCTTCAACTGATGAGGGGGTGAGCTTTCCCAGGACAAAGACGTGGATATATAATAGAAAGAAAAAGGAGGGGTGGGAGACACAAGAAGACAGAGGGTGTTTGAGTGAGAGGGAGGAAAGGAAAAGGGGTGCACATGTTAAAAGATACGGTGCTTGTTGAAGACGAGTTCTAACAACACAGAAAGAAAAAAGAACAGAGACCATCTGCAGTTGCACCCCCTTCCCTCTCTACTACTTACTCAATTTGCTAACCCATTACAGACTCCACAGAGAGTGGGATCCGGGGTGTAGTTAAGGAGTTGTTGGAGAACATCAGTGTATCTGCACCCCAGTCTCCCCCGTCCCTCCACCACATGGTACAGTCCATTTAAAAGGCTGCATGTCATCTCGGTGTGTGCAGGGTCCTCTCTGAGAGCAGCTGCTCACAGCACATTCTCCTCAGCGGGAGCATTCACTTTCCCTCCGCCTGCTGCGCTCCATCTCTTCTCCTCCTCCGTCTTCCTCCCTTCTTTCCACTCTCAGTGCTTTACTTGTCTTTGCTCTACTCAGACACATGCTTTCTCTCACCCTGTAGTGCTTGGCCACACAAACCTTCTCTGCAGTAACAGGTAGACATCATCCAGCTCTGCTCAGATGAGGAGAAGGACCTGGGTTTTCTTTATGTATCCAAAGTAGGCATTAGGAGAAGAAACATAGGTGGAAGAAGAAGAGGAAGAGGTGTTGAAGAGGAAAGGGTGTCAGCTTCACTCCCTTGTAATGTTCCTCCTGACACCATGCTGCTCTGTGTGGATTTGCTCCTCAGGGGAAAATCCTTAAAATGATGGAAGACAACAAACAGCTGGCTCAGAGGATTGATGGGGCCATCCAGTCCGCCACTCAGGAAGTGACGAACCTTCGATCTGAGCTCTCTGCCACCAGCCGCAGACTGGCAGAGCTGGGAGCCAGCAGCCCCCCTGCCTTAGAGAACCACCACCAGCTCAACCACCACGATGACAGCCTTCACTATCGAGGTGAGTGTCACTGGAAAGCTACGAATGAGTAAATATGAGCGCACACTTACACAGTTACATGCTGTTCTCTCCATGTGTGTGACAGTGAGAACATGAACACGTCTGGCTGTTTTGAAACCAACAGTGGGAAATATTTGGAGAATGTTCCCTGTTCCTGCATTGACTTATTTTCCCACAAACTCAGCATGTGAATGACAGTGGAAAAGGCAGCAGATTGGAAGGAAAGAGACCAGGACTGAGGGGTTGGGGAAGGGGAGGGGGTGGCGTTTAAAGCAGGGGCCAGAGTTTGTCCGAGTTTGGTTTCCCAGGCAGCAGCTGGGTTCTTCAGGGTCTTTCCCGCTCTGGCTCTGTTTCCACTCTGTGCTCAAGTCTGGTATTGATTCTGTGAAAAGAAAGCCTGTGATGGGCACGGAGACCGAGTGTCAACACCTCTGAAAGAGGCTGGTAACACCACAGCACTGTCACTTCGCTATAAAGGATGAGGGGAATGGAAATAAGCTTTAAACTACAGAGGAGCTTTAAACATGCCACTATTCTGATGGATTTTCTTATACTACTTTTTAATATATCTGTTGTTCCCAGAGGAGCCATGGAGTTTTATTGTTTTAGAGGTTATTGCATATGGTGACAGCAACTTTTTATCCTTGGACCCATTTTGTTAGGCAGCATTTGCGTACTCTGTGTGCTGTTTTAGTTCGAGTAATCCTATTCAGTTTTATTAGATTGGAAAAGAAAAACCTCAACAACTGTATTGTCGTTTTTGTTTTGATCTTCTTTAGGGTTAAAGAATAGCAACTTTTATTTAAATAATTTGTTTAGGTAATTATTTAAAAATGAGCAGTGACAAGTTGCAAGGTCAAAGGTTGGGTTAGGGTTAGCACATTTCTTGGGTTTTCTGGTCCAATCAAAGCTCTACTGGAGCTCTATCTGCTGAAAACTGAAAAAGTCCCAAGTGGTTTGATAGAAAATTGTCAGAGCTCCAAGTAAATCACAGTTTGGGCTGTGTAGCTGCAGAACTATCAGGGTGCTCATGCTGAGGTCAGTCCATTTAAGTAATCTAACTTCAACTCATGTTGCAACTGTAACTACTTTGTTTCAGCTAGAACTTTAAGCAGGACATAAGAGTTGAGTTTTTTTGTATTGCTGAGCCAGATTTGATCTAAATGTCCTTTTAGTCTTTTGATTTGAAACATCTCAGCAGAGGTTATCAGTTGTGTCCATCATTGTGCTTGCTCTCGTTCTCCCTCTTGGTCTGGTTGTAGTTATGTTAACATGCAGCCTGACATTCCCACATTCCTGAATGTCAGCCCAGTGACGTCATATTTCCTGTTCCCAGAGAGCAGGCCAGCAGTCAGGTGACTGATCAAACCAAACACGGACCTCCACCTCCCTCGGCTGAGCTCGCACCTCGTTTGAAGAACGAGGGCTGACTCTGGAAACTGCAGAGCTTAACTCGCTCTTGTAAGATTTCAAGTTTAAGATAATTTGTCTTGGAGTTTTCTCGTGTTCGGCAGCTCAGAGTGTGATGAGCCAGCGCTTGTGGCTTAGGGAAATTAAATGTTCTTTAGGAGTGTATCTCTCTCCAAGCCAAGCTGTTAGTCTGTTAGTCTGTTTGTTGGCTTTGCAGGATCTAAACAGTGTTTTTGTTATGCATGAACTGGGTCCCGTAAAAACATTACACTGAACCAGGTGCCAGAACTTTTGGTGCGTGTCACCTCCACATGGAGATACAATATTATCTCCAACAAGGCCCTAAACACGGGAGTTGAGCTTGCTGTTCATGCTAAGCTTGGAGGTCAGCCCTGCCGTTCTAATTAACTTCCTGTTAACATTATAGTAACTTTTAGTCTTTATGTAGCCACTTTAGCACAATTGTGCTTTTTGCTCATGTTAATTTAATGTAATTTTTCCAAACAGGACCTTTTCAGAAGAGATTCAATCACCACTTTAGAAAAGTCAGTGGAAATGTTTTTGGATAGCTCATCAACATGTCCTGCATTTTTTATATTCAGCCCATTGACAGTAATGTCTTCATTACTTTGCGATTGCTTCTTCAAATTAGTTGCCCTTCCTTTTAATTCATAACACTGATTTCAACTCTTTGTTTAAGATTCTTCAAAAAGTTATATTTACACTCCATTTATACATAGACAGAGCTCTTTAGTTTGTAAAGGGAAACAAAGACTGCATAAAAATGAAAGAATTGGCATTTAATGAAGAAATGCTTATCAATCACTGCCCTTCAATCCATTGTCTTAGAATAAGATGATTTTTTATTGAAAAACGATGAAGTTGTAGCTGTTTTGGTCAAACCTTCAAAATGATATAATGCACAATCTCATGCAATATAATAAGATATCATATTCACAAAACGTGCTGGGTAAGACTTCAAAATAAAACCACATCAAATTTTAGGTCATTATCTGTAAAAATGACAGTTATATTTGAGTTTTTAAGGTCAGTTGACTGTGGCAACCATCTCTTGAATTTGGTTGAGTTATTATTAGTAGTAGTAGTATTATTACTATAATTAATTCATTTATTCATTCATTTAAAATAAATTCAATTCAATTCAGTTTTTTTATATAGCGCCAAATCACTACAAAGTTGTCTCAGGGCACTTTACAGGAACATTCACATACATAAAAGCCAATTAGTAAAGTTCTCTATCTAAGGAATCCAGCAGACAAGTTGAATCTTGGCTTCGTTGCAGTCTCCCATCCTGAGCAAGCACAGTGGCAACAGTGGAAAGAAAAAACTCCCTTTTAAAAGGAAGAAACCTCCAGCAGAACCAGGCTCAGGACAAGCGGCCATCTGCTTTGACCGGCTGGTTGAGAGGACAGGAAGGAGAGACAGACGAACACAGAATAGTAGATCTAGGTATAAGTGCAGGTGTACATGAAAGACAAAAAAACACATGTTAAGGATAGAAAATAATTACAAATGTTGAGCAGAGTAAGTAAAGACAGTAGCAGAGTGAAAAGTGTGGTCAGTTTGTCCTCCAGCAGTCTAAGCCTATAGCAGCATAACTAAGGGACAGCTCAGGAAACCCAAGCCGACCCTAACTATAGGATTTAACAAAAAGGAAAGTCTTAAGCCTAGTTTTAAAACTGGATAATGTGTCAGCCTCAACAAAACAAATTAATCAAAAAGAAAAATAGAAAAACATTGAATGAAAAGAAAGAAGAAAAATATTCTTATAATATCTGCCCCTTATTTAAAAAAAATAATAATAATAACTACAAACACACAAAAACCTTCACTTGAACAATCTCCAAATTGGAAAAAAAAAACACCAGATATCCTTCACCTGGCACTATACCTTCCCAGCAACTTTAACTTAATCTTCTTTTTAAACATATAAATTGTTTTAGAAATTTTTATAGTGATATCAAGGCAATTCCACAATCGTGTTCCCTGAATTACAACGCAGCCCTCCTTCACACTAGTTCTAAATGGAGTTTTACAAACATTTCCATTCTCTTAAGGTTATATTGACTCTCTTTTTTAACAAATCTTAATTGAATATTTGGGGGTATTTTTAATGAGCTTTATACATGACTTGTAAAGTACTTTATTCAGCCAAATCATAAACTTTTTATAATTTCAACTTGTGAAATAATATATTTGTTGGGTGACCATAGCACTTCCTACTTTGTACTATTAATTCTTATAGCTCTTTTTTTGTAAAATAAAAATAGGATTTGTAATTGTTTTGCATGCTTTTCTCCAAACTACAATACAATAGATTAAATATGGAACAATCAATGTGGAGTTCTGCTGTTATCCAATAATTATTTTGGTGAGTTTCATCAAATTTGGCCAATGGTTCATGAAATATTTCACTAACAGGTAAAAACAAAATATTTTGCTGACAGGTATAAACATAATATTTTGCCTTTTGGTGGCAATATTGCTCTAAAATCCATGTAGCCTAACCTTATCATGAGTCTTCATGTTATTAATGATTAATTCTTTGTTGATTAATGCCCTGCAGTCTGCCAGTAGGACAAAGATTATCACAGAATCATGGGAGTCTGCCAGTGGTAATCCATAAGCCTTTCTGAAACACATGAGTAAGATGTTACTGAGTGACACAGCATGGAGTGAAGGGATGACCCTTTGGCTGCTTTAAAACAGAAAAAGAAACATGCTGTGGTGGGTACTTTTTCTTATACGGTACAACAAAATAATACCACCTGTAAACTGAATTATACAAAATATTGGGGGTAAAAATTCTGCTATACACTAATAAATGAATTTAACTAATAAAACTCTAAACTAATAGAGTTTTAAAGAAGAATCCTGGTATGTTTAGCCTGCATTGTTGTGTCTCCTTGGTGCTGCACTCAGTGACTCATCTTTCCTGGAGATGCAAACATCCACAGTTTAAACATGGCTGAGCTTAAATGTGATGTGGTCATTTATGTGGTGGCTCTGAATGTAGAACCTTCACCCACCAATTCAACATCCAAAATATTTTCTTTTTGAGGCAAAGACTACATAAGTTTTTATTGTCTGTTAAAATAAATCCAGTCTTTTAATCCGTTTTCTAATCATCATGGTCACAGGTAGATGGAGGTTAGCTCAGCTGTTGGCAAGTTCACAAGTTCATCACTGAGCGACAGAAAATAAAAATAATAAATCAATTGCAACCTACAGTCATTTAGAAAAAGCTGTAAACCTGACTAGAGCAGCACTGTGCAAAATTCTTCAGTCATCCGTGATTTATCTCTCAAAATAGTCCTGATCAATACTTCTTCAGGGTTACTGAAGGTTTTTAAAAGTTTTTTTATTTTTTACTTTAGTTGGTATCACCTTTTCATGACTGTTCTGTTTTTATGTTTTGTCACAGATTTTTATTTATTCTTGAGTTCTGATGTAATCTATATGATGCATTTAATTTGCCTTTAAACTTCAAAGAGCTAAATCCAATAAAAAACTAATCAAGTTTCAAATTAACTTGTGCAAACAGTTTGCCATGATCCAACAGAATCAAA